GCCCTTTCAAAGTGGGGGGGGGGGGGGGGGGGGGTCTCTCCTCAACCACCATCAGTGTGCAGCATCCACCTGGATGATACGATGATAGCCACAGGACAGCGGCGCCAGAGAGCTCACCACACACTAGCTACAGGTGGAGAGGAGAGAAAGTCATAGAGCCAATCAATGTGATGGGGATTATTAGGAGGCCATGATAGACAAGTGCCAGTGGTGGCAAATTTGGCCAGGACACCGGGGTACACCCCTACTCTTTACGAGAATTGCCATGGGATTTTTAATGACCACAGAGAGTCAGGACCTCGGTTTAACGTCTCAGCCGAAGGACGGTGCTTCTTGACACTATAGTGTCCCCATCACTACACTGGGGCGTTAGGACCCACACAGACTGCAGGGTGAGCACCCCCTGCTGGCCTCACTAGCACCTCTTCCAGCAGAAACCTAGTTTTCACAGGAGGTCCCCCATCCAGGTACTGACCAGACTCAACCCTGCTCAGCTTCAGTGGGCAACCAGTCTTGGGCTGCAGGGTGATATGGCTGTGGCATATTTATGGTATTTAATTAAACAAACATTTTTGACAATTGGAACTGATTAACGGAAATAAATCACACATATCAACTATCAACGCCATGTTTGCTAAAGAAGTTTAAATTAAACATGAAAAAAGTTTCCATAACTTCCAAAATGTGATGTACCGGTATATAACAGGATATTCAACAAGAAAATAAATTTAGGGCGGGTTTGACTTTTCCTGAGTCTCAAATTGGTTTCAAGCAGTGTTATTCTGCTGAAATATGCTTTGCTGCACCTCAAACTTCCAAATATTACTAACATGCATTGTTTTTATGCACTGTGTTGCACATTTTTGGTGAGCTGTTATTTACAGCTGCTTGATGGAATGAGGACACCATCATTTCCATTTAAATGAGAATGATGGTTCTCCTTTAATGTAAGAATAACTCAATTGTGGCAACTGAGGAGAGCCTCGCTGCGGCAACAGGAGCATTATGAAGAAGTCCATCAAATCCTAAATAAAGTTAGCAGGAAATACTCAATTAAACAATGCTATTGTATGCATAACACAGAGCAAAGGTATGTGATTTACAGTCTTTGGCTTTCGAGAGCTTGTGTAAAGCCACAAACACAAAGTACTAGCAACAGATGAGATGTCTGGTGAAATATTACACTAAGTACTGCTGGGTTTACTATACTGACAAAAGCAAAGTAATGAAACAGAATAAGAATTGTGCGAACTGTTTGTTTGCGATGGTCTACTGGCTGATCACAGAAAAAGTGTGTTATTTTTCACTTTCTTGAAGAAACAAAACAGCTATGAATATTTCAGGAGCAAAGAGAAACAAGTTAAAGATTAATATTTATTCTCCTGATGGTTGTTTTTGCAATTCCATACATTTCATATATACATTACCATTCAAAAGTTTGGGGTCAATAAGATTTAGTTTTTTTTAAAGACATTAATAGTTTTATTTTGCAAGCATGCATTAAATTGTAAAAAAAAGTGTTGTTTATAATGTTACAAAAAAAATTCTAATAAATGGTGTTCTTTTAAACTTTCTATTCATCAAAGAATCCCAAAAAATAAAATATCATGGTTTCCCCAAAATTAGCAAGCAGCACAACTGTTTTCAACATTGATAATAAGAAGAAATGTTTCTTGAGCAGCATACAGAATTAAAATGATTTCTGAAGGATCATGTGACACTGAAGACAAATCTGCTTTGAATCACAGAAATAAAGTACATTTTGCAATATATTCAAATAGAAAACATCTAATTTAAATGATACTAATATTAAATGTTTTTACTTCATTTTTAATAAAATAAACGCAGCCTTGATGAGCATAAATTACTTCAAAAATATGTTTCAAAAATAATCCCACATTTTTGAATGGTGTATTTGACTTTGTGTATTATATGTGACTTTGCTGGATTGCTTTAACCTGGATGTTGGCTATTGAACTGTTTCCATAAACTTAACTTTACCTGCAGATTCCTCAGGCTGAAACGCTCTGAATGTTTTCCTTTCAACTCTTCCCATGTTCCTGAGCTCGAACGGTTATCAAAGACCAAACACTGTACGCCTGAGATACACAGTAGTCTGCGCCAAAACTTTTTAAATAACTACAAAACTCTTGAACATTTAATACTCGGTGGAAAGTGCTGGCACAGATTCCTGCCGTGTCACACAATCTGCTGCTGGGGAATATACAGTTGTCATTTCTACTGTTGAAAATAGACATCAAGCGTGGGAGTGCTTTGACAGCACAGCGGAGACCCAGACGAGTCACGCAGGCATCATCCTCTTACTGTCAGCGGCTGACGGAGTGCAGAAATCCCTAGTTTTCACACTCATTTAACCGCTATTAGCCTGACAACCATTAGTGCTACAACAAAAGAGATGCGGCTCAGGAGAAACTAATGCGTGATAGCTTTTAACACATAAACATAAAAATGACCAGGGTTTTTTAATATTAACGGACATACTGCATATTGAGAAAGCCTCAATATAAGCACATTTAAGTTAAAACTGCTCATCCTTAGTATGACAAACTTTTATGGGTAATATTTTACAAGTAATATCCTTCTTATACTTTGAATATGTGAATGTGCATATCAAATAATCTGGAATTAATTATAATTTCTAAAAATCTGTTAAAAATAAAAAAGGTAAAAATATTTGGTGAGTTGCAATTAATAATAATAATTAATAAAGATTATTAATAATTAATTAATTAATATTGACTTAGTTATATTTATTATTTATAAATATCACATTTGTGTAGAGTTGCACCACAAGATATTTTACGACCTGAACTAATGAAAAGAAAACATTAAAATTCATTTGAATAAATCCAATATGACAAACATGTTCATCATAGAAGAGGTGTATCCAAGTCATTGCACAAATTGCATTTTTAATGCATTTTTAAATAAATGAATATACATGTTAATTATTATTAACATAATTGATTAAATATATTAATATTAATGTAATGATATTTATTCATTCAAAAACTCTTTACGTTTTGGGGAGTCGCACCACATGACATTTTACATCCAAAACTAACAAAAAGGAAAAAAATATAAACATTTATATTAATAATTCTAATATGGAATCACATCATAGAAGAGGTGTATCCTATTGTACAAATTGCAGTTTTTATGTATGAATGTTGATTCATTATAATTAATATTAATAATATATAACAGTGATTACTAATAATAAATTACTAAATATTAATATTAACATAGCAGTGTTTATTAGTTTATAAACATAATTAACTTTTGAGGAGTTGCACCATGAAACACTTTAAAACCTGAACTACTCAAAGGAAAATATCAAAATGAATATTAGTAATTCTGACATGAAAAACATGCTCATCACAGAAGACGTGTATCCAAGTCATTGTACAAATTGCCATTTTAAATATTTTTTTAATAAATTAATATTAATGTTAATTAATTATAATTCATATTAATAATAAATAAAAGTGATTACTAATAATGAATTAATAACTATTAATATTAACATAGCAGCATTTATTAATTTATAAATATCATTAACGTTTGGGGAGTTGCACCATGAAACACATTAAAACCTGAACTACTAAAAAGAAAATATGAAATGAATATTAATAATTCAGAAATGGAAAACATGCTCATCATAGAAGTTATTGTATGTTTATATTTCATTTTCAAGTATTTTTGAAAAAAATTATGTTGAATTATTAATTATTATTTTATATATATATTAGTTTTTTTTTCCGGGTGTCACACTACAATATAACATGAATATCAGAAAATATAAAAAGTAATAAAAAACACGCATCCAAATCACTGTACAGATTGCATAGTAAACTATTTAACAAATGAATAAATAGGGCAAAAAAATGATCTAGTCGTTGTTAAGTTAACTGCGTTCACTGTTTAACTCTTGTTTAAGATAAAACGTTGCACTTTCCAGTGGGCAAAAAATCCAGAATCCAGGTTTGTGAAAATCAGTTACTTGGTAATACAGTACACTGAACAGATCAATATTCCACCCCTCACAACCTCATTATTGTCAATAATTTAAGTCAAATGAATATGGTTCTAATGGGAAGAGTCACTAACCTGAGAGACACCGTGCTTCCGTTTCGATGCACACACACTACTTGCCGAGACTGGTAGCCTATTTCCATATTCCAGAGGTCATCCTCTAGTCGATTCAGCCTGTTGCGGTTCCTTTTGCTCTTGATGAGCTCGCGCATCTCTGGGTCTCGGTTCCCTTTCCTCTCTTTGCCTTTCCGCCGGCGGGCTTGGCGGGCGGTGCGTGAGGGGGCGGCAGAGGAGGTCGGAGGTGATGCTAAAGAAGGCAGCTTGCACTCGCTCCATCCGCCCACTTTCAGACTGAACACTGTCTCTCTGCCCTCGCAGGCCCTCGGCGCGCACGTCTGGAACTCCGTCAGATTGGGGCAAGGAAGCCCACTGAACAGCGGCGGCTCCACGATGGAGCGGACGCGGTTCTGCAGGCCCAGCCCGCAGGTCTTGGAGCACGTGGTCCATGGGGTGAACTCGGTCACCACACAGTCTTGAGGGCAAGGAATTAAACAGGCCTGTTCCTGCCGGGGTTTGGGCTCAAAGTACTCACAGATGGCGTGGTCCGCAGTTGAGCCGTCCGCCTTGAGCACACAGTTCACCTCCCGCGTCTGGATGCCCTCTTCGCCTTGCAGGCAAATGCCCGTGCGGCCGGTGCGCAGCGATATGGGAACGCACTGGTTCCACGTACCCAGCCGCCAGTCGTACAGGTCCTTGTGCCAGTCGCAGACGCGGAAGCAGCTCTGTTGGTTGGCCGGCCGTGTGGACTGAAGGCAGTTGGTGTGAAGGGTGGTCCAGCCTTCCACATGAGCGCACCACACTGCCCGACTCTGACTGCCACCTGGACCGCACTCGCTGCCCATACATCTGCCCCACGGACCTGGGAAAACACACCAGTTAGTGCAAAGTCCCTGAGGAAATGCTACATAATGATGCTGCCTTATAAGATTCTTTTAGAAGTTAATGCCATAATGCACTGTGAAGCTTATTTTAGACAGACAGACAGACAGACAGATAGACAGATAGACAGATAGACAGATAGACAGATAGATAGATAGATAGATATATAGATAGATAGATAGATAGATAGATAGATAGATAGATTTAATGCATCCTTGCTGAGAATAAAAGTATTAATTTCTTTAAAGCTAATTTTACTGACCTCTATGGAAGCTTGTTTATGCCACAATGAAAAAAAGGTAATTGTGACTTTACAACTCACAATTCTGAGATTTTCCTCGCAATTTCTCGAGTTTACATCTCTTAATTCTGACTCTTTTTGAAATAAACTCACAATTCTAAGATAAAATGTTGCAATTAGCTTATTTATTTATACATACATACACGCATACATACATACATACACACATACATGACAGAAACAAGCTTCCATGGACCCCAAACTTAGGCAATTAGATTTAAAATTAAAGATTTAAATTGAAATAAATAAATCATTGTAATATTTACGAAATTAAAATGACAAATGTTTTATACACAATATTTGTGTGTGCTATACTTTTGAAGCTAATTAAACTGCAAGATGCAAACTCTTTTGTGAAGCGCTATTTGTGAGTTTCTGCCTATGTGTGACGTTCCAAGAACGACTCTTATGAGACACCAAACCCAGTTTGGATGCTGCCTCAGAAAGCAACTGTGTATGTAGGCAACAGACAGTGAGGCGGGCCCACTAAGTGCTGGAACACAGCCACGGTGTCAGGTTTACACACTTTGACATTTGAATAGGTTCACTTTTGTACCTGACTGATCCTTAAGGTGATAATCTGAGTGTTGGCCTAATTAACTATTTGGCTGTGAAGCAATTAGGCAGTCAAAACAAGTTAATCACCGCTCAGTACCTGCTGCTTTGTACTACTGGCAGCGTCAAACTCTAAATAGAGAATGGGAACAGAAGAAGCAACAAGAACCTCATGGGCACTAATTTTGGGATCACATCAAGTCATCAAATGCAACAAATTGTTGCCAAACATACTAAACAGAGTATGAATAAATGCTTAACATCAGGCAAAATAAGAAATATAGGACCACTGACATGCAAAACAGGCTACAAAACTGAAAAATAAAAGCTTATGCACCACAGAATGATCTTTTCAACATGTTAAACACAGCTTGAAAATTCCCATTTGAGGTTTGACTATTAACTTTATTTAACCTTATTTAAGAAAATAGCTAAGAACTGATGTATCAGTAAAAATAGGTATGTCTGAGTTTCTGAAAAATAAAAGAGAAAAAAAACGTACTTACTGCAATTAAAGGGTCATTAAATTCATTTCACCTCCAAAAGCTTTTTTTATTCCTTTTTATGACAGTTGAGACTAATTACCAGTTTTTCTGCCGTAATAATAAATGAAATGCAAGCATATATAGCATATTGTACAGGCTGAAGAATCAGTGGTTTAACAAAAGCAGCTTAAACCAAGAATCCAGCGAGTGCAGACAGCAAAGCATGACAAATAGAGATCTGTGAAGACAACAAGGACTGTGATTGTGCTTCAGGGGCTCAATCTCACAGAAAATGAGGCTTTATTACCATTAATTTTCACTGTATTACATTAGCTGTGTCGAGTTTCCATCTCACATTCAGCACCTCCTGCATGATAAATAGTGGTCCATGTAATGAGGCTAAATAATAATCCATCTCAGAAGGTTCTTGCTGCAAAGGCGTCGCATCAGGCCTCATTGTGTTAAACAAGAGCAGGGGAAATTTTGTAAAGCATAGTATAAAAACATTTGACAAGATTTTCTGACACCAGTGTGTTGATATGCATTTAGTGGTTGCTGCGATGTTGGTGGTTCCTTACTGACCCAAATCAGATATTCTGGTTCTTTGTTTTTTTGTTTAGTTTTTTTTGCCAGTTTTATCACCTGTCAGGTGAAATTAGTAAGTCTGCTTATTAACAAAAGAAATAGCACATCTCCTATACAATTTGAAGCATTATTAGTTTCCATTTCAAAAATAATAATGGGGAAAAGAGACGAGTAGCTTCACAAACATTACTAATAACATTATATCATAAGACCAATTGACCAACCACTCATTCCACCCACTCACTAGTTCTAATTAATATCATTTGATGAAGAGGGTGGGCGCCCAGGATGTGTTTACTCTGCAGGTCACTATGTTTCATTCCGGCTTTGAAAGGCAAAGAGAATGTCACAACAGTGATGCTATTGTTAACTAAATATAAAAATATATAAAGCTGAAATAAAACTAACTGAAATAAATAAAGTTCTAAAAGCATTGAAACTGAAAAGTTAATGATTTAGTTACTGAATATACAAACATAAAAAGAATAGTAATAATAAAATGGCAGAAACACATAGCAACATTTCTGAAACCTCAACTAAAATTTGAATAAAAAACAAAAATAAAGCCAATTCAAAATATTAAAAAAAACAATGTATAAATAATACTAAAATAAAACTGCTTTACAATAGCTTCGTTTCAAATACTAAAAAAAAGAGACCTCAAACGTTTGAACAATAGTGTGTATATCACACAAATCACAAATAAGCTGAAGTACAAAAATTGCTCAAACTAACACCAAAAATGACAGGTATATATATCAAAATTACCAAATCTTTACTAAAATGAAAACTGAAAATATAAAAATACAAGCTATAAATCAAAATGCTATAATAATATATAAATAATATTACAATAACGGTAACAAATTAGTTTAAGGACCAATTCCTTAAACTAGTTGTTTGTTAGCATGCATATTACTAGCATATTGGCTGTTTATTAGTACTTATAAAGCACATATTAATGCCTTATTCTGCATGACCATATTTTCGATCCCTTACCCCATACCTAATCTTTACAACTACCTTACTAACTATTAATAAGCAGCAAATTAGGAGTTTATTGAGGCAGAAGTTAGTTAATAGTGAGAATCGGACCCCAAACTAAAGTGTGACCAAAATAACACTATTCTCATTTTAAGGTATCAGAAGCACACGCCTGACACAAACAGTACACACTAGGCAGAATATGATGTTGCCTTCAAAGAAACCCTGATTTGGCCACATTCTAAAACATTAGAGGGTAAAGAGGATTTGGAGCTGGCAAATGCATTTAAGACTGAATACAGTTCAGTGTAATAAAAATGGAATATTTCACTCAATATTAGTGTGACTCTATGAGGTGGACAAAAAGTCCCACTTACTTTCTCCATAGAGAAATGATCAATAGCATCTAAACTTTTCAAGAAAGACCAATCATGAGCTCTGAGGTGATTTACCAGTTCTGTATGAAGAAAAATTTAAATTTAGTTTCTCAGAGTGCTATTTGTGCAACATCTGAAGCTCTTTTATTCATGTAGAGCGTTTCAAATCAATCACTTTGCAGTTACACTCCAGTTAGGATGCTGTCTTAGAAGGCAGCTGTATATGTAGGCACCAAACATGAAGGTAGATCACTAGAAAGAGAACTACAGTGGTGTCTGCCGAGTCAAAATCTATTATAATTTATTGCAAATAAGCAAACACCGTTCACAGAGCAGCAGAGAGACATATAACAGCATACATTTCTCCAATTATGTCACAGACTTAATGACTGCATGATGTGCTTCCTCCAACGGTGGGAGGGAGCAGAACTGCTGTCGCTTGCCAAGGCTAATCGTCTTTGGGAAAAGCAAGAATAAACACAATCCCTACACAATGGGCTTCACCGAAAACAACAAAAGATTTCACTTTTATGTCTTCTGACTCCCCCACAGGTTCAGAAAGAGGATTTCGAGACTGTGGTGGTCTGCGAACGTGAAGAGCTGTGACATGAATAGCTCCAAAATATGCTAAATTAAAGGTGCAGCAGGCCGTTTTGTAAAATATGTATCTTGAGAAATTACACCTTGATTTTAGACTCCACAAACCTTAAAAACTGAAATACGTTTTAAAAACGTGTATTTAAAAATAAGTGTTTTTTTGTGTCAATATAACGGAATAAACACTTTTTTTTTTTTTATTAAAATCAAATTTTTTTTCCTTAATCTTCCTTGAATTTCCAGAGAAGCAACTCATTTGTGATGTATACCAGTATGATGTAATATTTTGGTGATACTACCATCTGCCCACACTGGGGTCATTGTGAGAGGATCGGGCCTGCAGTGGGTCAGGATTGATCAGTATCTCACACATCATTATCTCCTGTGCTCGGAGGAGATGCCAGCTGTCATGATAAAAGGTAATTCTGGCTGACAAAGTGCTGGTCCATCAGCGTCTGACAGGTGTGTAGGAAACAGAGTGCAGACAATTCAGACTGTCAGTCAAACGGACCCACAGCCCAGTTCATAGAGAGAAGCATTTGATGAAGATACATCACCGCTTTTACCATTAATAACATGCATGTGATCATGTATTAGAGATAGATGGGTTAGGGATGAAAAAACAACAACAAAATAACCTTGATTTAATGGTGCTGCAAATGAAATGGTGCACAGAAGCCACAGAAGAATGGCTTGCTCTTTTGTAGCCAATCAGAAACACTCTCTGTCAGTCAATCATTGTGGTGTTTGGGTTTGAGAGGGCCGGGTTTTAAAGAGAATGCATGTGAAATTGTTAAAATCACTTGCAGCACCATTAATATAATAAATGTTTCAGCAATTTTAGCAATTACTGAAAGCAGGAGTTGCTGAGATGCAACAAGCATGTCTGGTTAATAACCTACTGCACCACTGGAGACCAAAAAATTTGTTCTCATATCTCTGATATCTCAAATGTTTCTCCTAAACACCAAAGAGAAGAAGCTGGAAGCAAATGGCAAATGGAGACATAATATATATTTTATAAACAGGAAGTCTTACATGTTTCTGACAGACAGACAGACAGACAGACAGATAGATGCAGACAGATAGATAGAAT